GTCGAGAATCCCCCTGTAGGGGGACACGCCCGACATGACCCAGGGGTCGGAGGGAGCACGGCTGTCGACTGCGCTGCGCTGCGTCCTGCTGCACGGGCATCGCGTCGCAGTCGCCCCACATTGCCGTGCCCCGCCCTGCGCCCTCGCCGCCCCGGGCGGGGGGGCCTGGGCCGGCCGGAGGGGAGGGAGGGGCGGGAGGACGCCCTGAGTCGGGTACAGCCAGGACCCCGGTTCAGGGGAGCCGGTCAGCGATGGGGCCCCGAGGCCCAAAATATGGACTGGAATCACTAAACCAGGTCTGCCGTAGCTGGTATTTTTCGGGTGACGGCAGTTCCGGTTAGTGGAATGGGGCGGGGGGGGCGTCCCCCAGTGCGCATCACTAAACCAGGTCACACTAAACCCAGTCCTGCCAACGCCCGACTGAGGCATTACTGTAAAGTCGGGCCTGTCCCTCTACAGGAGGAAGATTCCAAAAGAGTCAACAAATCTGCTTTTGAGCATTTTTTGGGCATCTTGTAGTCAAAATAGTCAAACAATAGTCAAACAAAAGTCAAACAATAGTCAATCAATAGTCCAAAATTTTCAAAATGGTCAGAAGTAGTCAAAATTGTTTGAGTATTTTTGGGCTCTTTTGATCATTTTTTGAATATCTTTTATCTTTCGTCCAAAATCCCCCGGTAGGAGGACATGCCCGACTTGACATTGGTATCGCATGCCTGTTGTCCTGCTGCTGTATTCTCATTGGGGGTGGAGGAGGGGGAGGAGGAGGGAGGGGTCAATACTTCACCCTGTATCAACACTGCGATCCTATCGGGGAGAGGGAGGGGGAAGGACGTTTGCTGACCGTATTCCTATCGCGTTCCTAGTGCAAAAGGGAGGCAGGGGGGGACAATCTGGACAGAGAGGAATTCCTCTTGTCTTACCATTGTATTCCTCGTGTGCTTTCATTGGAGGAGGAGTGAGGAAGGGCGGGTGAAGGAGTCCTCATTGCTAGTGCATTACACTCCGATGGTGCTCGTCGTGGAAAACAAGGAGCGCTTTTGAAGGGCTGCGAAGCTTCGGCCTACAGCCTGGTGGCCCCACAAGGGGGCCGGCGGATTTCTGTGCTACCATTTTGTTGTTCTCAGGAGAGGAGGAGAGGAGGAGAGAAGACGCACCTGGTATTCATATTGTGTTCCTATTAGGTGAACTTGGGGGAGTTCAGTGCTCTCACCACAGAAGAAGCACTTGCGTCACAAGGGCCCTCGGGCCCACCGGCCGTCCTGGAGAAAGGAGGGGAGGAGGGGAGGGCCACTCCCCATTCCCATTTCCCCTCTCTCCTCCTCCCCCGTCCTCCCTCCTCGCTTTCCTCTCCAGGGTACCCGGCTTTCTTTGTTTTGGCTGGCGCCCCCCTTGGCCCTCGGCCATCTTGTACGTCTGCCACGAAAGGGATCCTTAGAGGCGGATCACAACAGGATTTCTTTCGTGGAGGCTTACAGAAGGATTCCTTTTGTGGCTGGCGGCCCACCGCCCACAGCCTGCGGGGCCGCCAGCCACGACAGAAATACCAAGCTGTGACTTCCAGGCGTTCTTTTTGGTTGTTTTTCCTGCTTTCAGCTATCTTGGCTGGTGCCCCTTGGGCCCTCGGCCATCGTGTGCATCTGCGACACAAGGAAACACCCTTCCGTCAAAAGGGCCCTATCTGGCCGCGTTCGGCCAATACTTTTTTTCCCAACCCTCCTTGGTTGGGTATTCGTTTTGAATAGAGCAGTGTGGTCTCCACTCCTTCCTTCCTCCTCCTCCTCCCTCCCTGCCTCTTCCTGTCTTGCCTGCGGGGGGCTGCGATCTGTGAAACTGTCGCCATTTTCGATGCCTGCTGGGGGGCCCAGCACAGTGAGGGCGACGCGCAGATTCAAATGAGACCTCGCCATCCCTGGGGGGGTGCGATCTGTGAAACTGTCGCCATTTTCGAGGCCTGCTGGGGGGCCCAGCACAGTGAGGGCGACGCGCAGATTCAAATTAGACCTCGCCATCCCTGGGGGGCTGCGATCTGTGAAACTGTCGCCATTTTCGAGGCCTGCTGGGGGGCTCAGCACAGTGAGGGCGACGGGCAGATTCAAATTAGACCTCGCCATCCCTGGGGGGCTGCGATCTGTGAAATTGTCGCCATTTTCGAGGGCTGCTTGGGGGCCCAGCACAGTGAGGGCGACGCGCATATTCAAATTAGACCTCGCCATCCCTGGGGGGCTGCGATCTGTGAAACTGTCGCCATTTTCGAGGCCTGTTGGGGGGCCCAGCACAGTGAGGGCGACGCGCGGATTCAAATGAGACCTCGCCATCCCTGGGGGGGTGCGATCTGTGAAACTGCCGCCATTTTCGAGGCCTGCTGGGGGGCCCAGCAGAGTGAGGGCCACGGGCAGATTCAAATGAGACCTCGCCATCCCTGGGGGGCTGCGATCTGTGAAACTGTCGCCATTTTCGAGGCCTGCTGGGGGGCCAGCACAGTGAGGGCCACGGGCGGATTCAAATTAGACCTCGCCGTCCCTGGGGGGCTGCGATCTGCGAAACTGTCGCCATTTTCGAGGCCTGCTGGGGGGCCCAGCACAGTGAGGGCCACGCGCGGATTCAAATTAGACCTCGCCATCCCTGGGGGGCTGCGATCTGCGAAACCGTCGCCATTTTCGAGGCCTGCTGGGGGGCCCAGCACAGTGAGGGCCACGGGCAGATTCTAATGAGACCTCGCCATCCCTGCGGGGCTGCGATCTGTGGAACTGTCGCCATTTTCGAGGCATGCTGGGGGGCCCAGCCCACATGGAGGGCCCACGTGCGGATTATAATTAGACCTCCGCCATCCCACTTGGGCTTTTTTTTATCTTGTCCTTTTTTTTTTTTTTTCTTGTTTCTGGGGGGGCTGGCGATACTGTGAAAACTGTCGCCACTTTCGAGGGCTGCGGGGGCGGCCCCTGCACAGTTACGCCAACGGGCAATTACAAACGAGACCTACGCCATCCCTTTCTCTTTTCTTTTTTTTCTTTTTGGGGGGCTGCGATCTGTGAAATTGTCGCCACTTTCGAGGCCTGCTGGGGGCCCAGCGCAGTGACGCCACGGGCAGATTCAAATGAGACCTCGCCATCCCCTGGAGGCTGCGATCTGTGAAACTGTCGCCACTTTCGAGGCCTGCTGGGGGGCCCAGCGCAGCGAGGGCCACGGGCAGATTCTAATGAGACCTCGCCATCCCTGGGGGGGCTGCGATCTGTGAAACTGTCGCCACTTTCGAGGCCTGCTGGGGGGCCCCCGTTTTCGAAGTGGCTAGGAGTGCTCAGGAATTGTAACTCATCAGCTTTATCAAGCCCTTTTCCTGTAGCCAGTGTCCTGCGAGTCTCCCGAATTCCGTCTGCAGACATATGTAACCCTCGCTCCGTAATCGCCCCCTTATAAAGTATCCTAAACTATTTGCGCCCCGCTTTTGCGCAGGGGTTGGGTACGTCGCCAGGGTATTTTCATCTTTTTCCCAACCCTCCTGTATTGGGCACTCGTTTTGAATAGAGCACTGCGGTCGCGTCTTCTTCCTCCTCCCGCCTCTTCCTCTCTTCCCTCCTCCTCTCTTCGGGCCGCGATCTGTGGAACTGTCGCCACTTTCGAGGGCTGCTGGGGTGGCCAGCGGAGTGACGCCCCACGCAGACTCAGATTAGACCTCGCCATCCCTAGGCGGCTGCGATCTGTGAAACTGTCGCCACTTTCGAGGGCTGCTGGGGTGGCCAGCGGAGTGACGCCCTACGCAGACTCAGATTAGACCTCGCCATCCCTGGGGGTCTGCGATCTGTGAAACTGTTGCCATTTTCGAGGGCTGCTGGAGGGTCCAGCGGAGTGACGCCCTACGCAGACTCAGATTAGACCTCGCCATCCCTGGGGGGCTGCGATCTGTGAAACTGTCGCCACTTTCGAGGGCTGCTGGGGGGTCCAGCGGAGGGTGAAGCCCCACGCAGACTCAGATTAGACCTCGCCATCCCTGGGATCTGCGATCTGTGAAAAACGTCGCCACTTTCGATGGCTGCTGGGGCTGGCCAGCGGAGTGACGCCTACGCAGGACTCAGAGTAGAACCTCGCCATCCCTCGGGGGGGGCAGCGATCTGTGAAACTGTCGCCATTTTCGAGGGCTGCTGGAGGGTCCAGCGGAGTGACGCCCTACGGGGACTCAGATTAGGACCTCGCCATCCCTGGGTGGCTGCGAATCGTGAAACGTTCGCCACTTTCGATGCTGGCTGGGGGTCAGCGGAAGTGACGCCCCATCCGCCAGTCCAGGAAGGACCTCGCCATCGTGGGGGCTGCACTGCGAAACTGGTCGCCATTTTCGAGGGCTGCTGGAGGGTCCAGCGGAGTGACGCCCTACGCAGACTCAGATTAGACCTCGCCATCCCTGGGGGGCTGCGATCTGTGAAACTGTCGCCATTTTCGAGGGCTGCTGGAGGGTCCAGCGGAGTGACGCCCTACGCAGACTCAGATTAGACCTCGCCATCCCTGGGGGGCTGCGATCTGCGAAACTGTCGCCACTTTCGAGGGCTGCTGGGGGGCCCAGCGGAGTGGGGTCATACGCAGATCCAGATAGGACCTCGCCATCCCTGGGGGGCTGCGATCTGCGAAACTGTTACAACTTTCGAGGGCTGCTGGGGTGGGTGGGTGGGGGCCCAGCGGAGTGGGGTCATACGCAGATTCAGATTAGACCTCGCCATCCCGTGGGGGGCTGCGATCTGCGAAACTGTCGCCACTGTCGAGGGGGCAGCGGAGTGACGCCCTACGCAGACTCAGATTAGACCTCGCCATCCCTGGGGGGCTGCGTTCGCCCGACCCGACCCTCCGGTGCCGCGCCGCCCGCCGCGGGGGCGCCCGCCCCGCGCGCCGCCCGCCGCGAGGGAGCAGCGCTCCGAGCTGCCCCCGGCCACGCCGGCGGGGCAGATCGGGGAGCACCGGAGCGCGAACCGGCAGGCGCCCTCCGGCGCCCGCCCCCAGCTGGAGGAGCGCAAGGGCGAGCAGATTACAAGTGCACACACGATGCTGGCAGGATCTTCCCCGCGTTTCTTCCCACGTCTCTTCGGGGTTTCTTTTGACCTTCCCCCCTGTTTTCCCATGTCTTCCACTGCTTTCCCATGCTCTCCTGGGAGGCGACGAGGAATGGTGTCCGTGGGTTTTTCCCCACATCCTGAGTGGGGTTCTTGTTTTCCCAGGACACCCTCTCCTTCCCACCTTCCCACCTTCCCACCTCCCGCTCCCTCTTCCTACTCCTACCATACCATACTATACCATACCATACAATACCGCTCCCTCTTCCTACTCCTACCATACCATACTATACCATACCATACAATACCATACCATACTATAGCAGACCACCGTACCTACCATACCACACCTAGGAAACCATACATACACCATCACCGCATACCTACCACACCATACAATACCATACAATACATACCTACCACGCTCGCTCCCTCTTTCTATTCCTACCATACCATACTATACCTTACCATACAATACCATACCATACTATAGCAGACCACCGGAGTCAGGCAAGCACGTAGGAAACCATACATACACCATCACCGCATATCTACCACATCATACAATACCAGACAATACCTACCTGCCCTCCAGGGAGGCCCTGCCAGAGCGAGGACAGTATTCGCAAACCATATTATTTATCAGGTTTCGTGCCCCTCCCAGCGCTCCAGGGAGGCCCCGCCAGAGCGAGGACAGTATTCGCAAACCATATTATTTATGAGGTTTCGTGCCCCTCCCACCGCTCCAGGGAGGCCCCGCCTGAGCGAGGACAGTATTCGCAAACCGTATTATTTATCAGGTTTCGTGCCCCTCCCACCCCTCCAGGGAGGCCCCGCCAGAGCGAGGACAGTATTCACAAACCATATTATTTATCAGGTTTCGTGCCCTCCCAGCGCTCCAGGGAGGCCCCGCCAGAGCGAGGACAGTATTTGCAAACCATATTATTTATCAAGTTTCGCGCCCCTCCCACCGCTCCAGGGAGGCCCCGCCTGAGCGAGGACAGTATTCGCAAACCATATTATTTATCAGGTTTCGTGCCCCTCCCACCGCTCCAGGGAGGCCCCGCCTGAGCGAGGACAGTATTCGCAAACCATATTATTTATCAGGTTTCGTGAACCCTCCCACCGCTCCAGGGAGGCCCCGCCTGAGCGAGGACAGTATCCGCAAACCATATTATTTATCAGGTTTCGTGCCCCTCCCACCGCTCCAGGGAGGCCCCGCCCCCTCCCTGAGCGAGGACAGTATTTCGCAAACCATTCAGATTCTTAGGCTTACGCCACACCGCCGACCCCTTGTTTATGCCAATCGGGGGGCAGTAGAAGCTGCGAAGGGGTGAAAAGGCGAGTGATAGTTGTTTGGTGTCTGTTCGCCGCCACTGCCAGAGGGTCTCGGGCAGTTCCGCGGGGGTGTCCGAGCGGACGGCGACACCGCGGGCGGTCGTGGTCTCATCTGGGGCCATCTGAGAGGCATAATGGAGCCAGGTTGGGCTCGGGAATGTCTTCGAGCCGTTTCGGTGGCGGTCGGGAGTTTTTTTGGGGGACTGTCCAGGAGTCATTATGGGTCAACTTGGCCATGTGCGAGGCCACGGCGCGTGCAAAGGGTGTGCCGGCATGGGGTATACTTGCATGCGAATCTTCCCACTGGGCCCCACGGTGGACGTATTCTGGAGCCACGATCGACGTGTGTGTGCGCTTGGGGTTGGAAGTTTACGGGACCGCGGGTACTGGGGCTATGGTTGGAGCGCGCCGTGGAGCCACGAAATCTATAAGGGACGTGCCCAATGTTCGCGGGGAACCGCGCGAGGACAGTTTTCGCAAAACATATTATTTTATCAGGTTTCGTGCCCCTCCCAGCGCTCCAGGGAGGCCCCGCCTGAGCGAGGACAGTATTCGCAAACCATATTATTTATCAGGTTTCGTGCCTTTCCCACCGCTCCAGGGAGGCCCCGCCAGAGCGAGGACAGTATTCGCAAACCATATTATTTATCAGGTTTCGTGCCCCTCCCAGCGCTCCAGGGAGGCCCCGCCTGAGCGAGGACAGTATTCGCAAACCATATTATTTATTCTCTTGCACCACTGTGCTCTAGAGCTCGGACATCTTTATTTTCGTCGTTCGTCGTGTCGTTCGTCCCCCTCGCCCCCCCCCTGTCCACGCTTCCCAGGGTAGCCCCCCTGGGCCACGGAACCCTTTATTTTCGTCGTTCGTCGTGTCGTTCGTCCCTCTCGCCCCCCCCGTCCCCCTCGCCCCCCCCCCTGTCCACGCTTCCCAGGGTACCCCTCGCCCCCCCCCCTGTCCACGCTTCCCAGGGACTCCCCCCATCTTATTTTCGTCGGATTCGCCGTGTCGTTCGTCCCCCTCGACCCCCCCCTGTCCAAGCTCTTCCCAGGGTAGCCCCCCGTGGGCCGCACGGAAACCCCTTTAATTTTCGTCGTTCGTCGTGTCGTTCGTCCCCCTCGCCCCCCCCACCCGTCCCCCTTTGCCCCCCCCCCCCCAACCCCCACCTCCCCCCCCCCCCCACTCCCCCCCCCTCGCCCCCCCCCCTGTCCACGCTTCCCAGGGTACCCCTCGCCCCCCCCCCTGTCCACGCTTCCCAGGGTAGCCCCCCTGGGCCACGGAACCCTTTATTTTCGTCGTTCGTCGTGTCGTTCGTCCCCCTCGCCCCCCCCCGTCCCCCTCGCCCCCCCCCTGTCCACGCTTCCCAGGGTACCCCTCGCCCCCCCCCCCTGTCCACGCTTCCCAGGGTAGCCCCCCTGGGCCACGGAACCCTTTATTTTCGTCGTTCGTCGTGTCGTTTCGCCCCCTTCGCCCCCCCCCCCCCTTGTCCACGCTTCCAGGGTAGCCCCCCGGGCCATGGAACCTTTTTTTCTCGTTCGTCGTTGTCGTTCGTCCCCCCCCCCTCCTGGTCCACGTTCCCAGGGTCCCCCCCGGGCCACTTTTATTTTCGGTGTCCGTGTCGTGTCGTGGTCGTCGTCCCCCTGCCCCCCCCCCCTCTAGCCCCCCCCCGCCAGGCTTTCCCGGGCAGCCCCCCTGAGCCCCGGACACCTTTGTGCAAGATTTTGTGCAAGAGCCCAGGCACGCGTGGCCACTGCTTTTTCTGTCGTTCGTGCTTGTCGTTCTGCCCCCTCGCCCCCCTCCCGCCCCCCTCGCCCCCCCGGTCCACGCTTCCAGGGTACCCCGCGCGGCCCCTGTCCACGCTTCCCGGGGTGCCCGCACTGGGCCACGGAACCTTATTTTCGTCGTGCGTGTGTCGTTCGTCCCCCTCGCCCCCCCCCTGTCCACGCTTCCCAGGGTAGCCCCCCTGGGCCACGGAACCCTTTATTTTCGTCGTTCGTCGTGTCGTTCGTCCCTCTCGCCCCCCCCGTCCCCCTCGCCCCCCCCCCTGTCCACGCTTCCCAGGGTACCCCTCGCCCCCCCCCCTGTCCACGCTTCCCAGGGTAGCCCCCCTGGGCCACGGAACCCTTTATTTTCGTCGTTCGTCGTGTCGTTCGTCCTCCTCGCCCCCCCCCCTGTCCACGCTTCCCAGGGTAGCCCCCCTGGGCCACGGAACCCTTTATTTTCGTCGTTCGTCGTGTCGTTCGTCCCCCTCGCCCCCCCCCCTGTCCACGCTTCCCAGGGTAGCCCCCCTGGGCCACGGAACCCTTTATTTTCGTCGTTCGTCGTGTCGTTCGTCCCCCCCCCCCTGTCCACGCTTCCCAGGGTAGCCCCTCTGGGCCACTTTTATTTCCGTGTCGTGTCGTGTCGCGTCGTTCGCCCCCCTGCCCCCCCCCTCTGCCCCCCCCCGCCCAGGCTTCCCAGGGCAGCCCCCCTGAGCCTCGGACACCTTTGTGCAAGAGCCAGGGCACGCGTGCCACTTGTCAGGTTTCGTGCCCCTCCCACCGCTCCAGGGAGGCCCCGCCTGAGCGAGGACAGTCTTCGCAAACCATATTATTTCTCAGGTTTCGTGCCCCTCCCCCGCTCCAGGGAGGCCCCGCCTGAGCGAGGACAGTATTCGCAAAGCCACAGTATTTATCAGGTTTCGTGCCCCTCCCACCGCTCCAGGGCGGCCCCGCCTGAGCGAGGACAGTATTCGCAAACCATATTATTTATCAGGTTTCGTGCCCCTCCCAGCTCCAGGGAGGCCCCGCCTGAGCGAGGACAGTATTCGCAAACCATATTATTTATCAGGTTTCGTGCCCCTCCCACCGCTCCAGGGCGGCCCCGCCTGAGCGAGGACAGTATTCGCAAACAGTATTATTTATCAGGTTTCGTGCCCCTCCCACGCTCCAGGGAGGCCCCGCCTGAGCGAGGACAGTATTCGCAAACCATATTATTTATCAGGTTTCGTGCCCCTCCCACCGCTCCAGGGAGGCCCCGCCAGAGCGAGGACAGTATTCGCAAACCATATTATTTCTCAGGTTTCGTGCCCCTCCCACCGCTCCAGGGAGGCCCCGCCTGAGCGAGGACAGTATTCGCAAACCATATTATTTATAAGGTGCCCCTCCCACCGCTCCAGGGAGGCCCCGCCTGAGCGAGGACAGTATTCGCTGCCATCCTCGTCGACCCCTCCCCCCGCAACTCCGCCTCTTCCTCTTCCTCCTGACTAAGCCCGCGCCCTATTAAAACGCCCATGTGGGGAACTCCGTTAGCATAATTTGTGTTCCCCTCCTGACCAGCGTTTTTTTCCCACGTCTTCTGGTTTGTTTTTTGTCTTCCCCCCCCACCTCCCATGTTTTCCCATGCTTTCCCATGTCCTCCTTGGAGGCGAAGATGCATTGTGTCCGTGTGTCGGGCCCAGGCCCCCCGGGAGGAACGGCGAGGAAAGCACGACGGGGGGGGCTCTTTTTTTGCGCTGTCTGTGGCCCTTGGGTGTGCAGTCGGGCGTGTCCCTCTACAGGAGGAGTGCTCAAAAATTGTCAGAGCGTCGTGTTTCTGTTGCTGCTGTTGTTATTTTTGTTTTTTCCCCCCTTTGAAAGGGGGAGAGCTGTTTTTTGTTGTTTTGATATTTTTTTGATATGTTTAGACTATTTCTTGCTTTCCCTCCCAAATCCCCTTGTAGGAGGACATGCCCGACCTAACCCTGGAGGGCCCTCACAGGCCCCCAGGAACCTTCGGAAAGCGCCTCCCGAAGAGGAGGGAAGACGGGAAGCCACTCGACGCTTGAAGCAGGGAGACGGCTGAAGTAGACTGGGATTTGGGAGTCCAAACATACTTATTTTCCCGGCGTGCAACCCCAAAATGCCCAGATTGGGGAACGATCGGCGTGTAACCCAGACCCTCTCGAGGCATGACGAAGATCACGACGGAGAGGTTTTTTTCGCTGTCTTCATTGTGTGTTGGGCCGGTTGACGCTGCTGGTTGCTGGTATGTTGCGGTGCTCCTGGGCTCCGCGGGCCGTTCACGACTTCCGTGTGCCCCCGTGGCCCCAGATTCCTACGCGCGCCTGCAAGTGCCCTGAGCCACGCCTATCAGCATCCCCCAGGCATGCTCCGACCAGCTCGATTTCAAAGTATCCCTGCCCCCCTGGAGCTTCGAGGTTCGCGGATGCTTCGATGATCCTGGCGGGGTGCCGGCGGCATCGAAGACATTTGCGGCCCTGTACATTGCTTTTTGGCGCGCGATGTGCGGGAGGCTCGGGGGCGCCCGCCTCTCAGGCTGAGGCTTTCCCCCGCAAGCTCTTTAAGCCGCCGGCAAACTTACGGTGGCCACCCCAGGTTTGAACCAGTGGCGTCCTCGGGCCGCAAGCGGGCCATGGCGCGGGCGCAGGGTGCTTGGGAGTGGTTGGCGGCTGCGGAGTCTGGTGGGGCCCTTACCAACTTCTTCACGGCCATCCAGTTTCCCCCATGCCCCTCCCACTTCCCCCACGTCAATATCGCCCCTCTCAACGATCCAGACCTCGGTCGAAGTCCCCCACGTCCATCGAAACTTCCCCAGTGACCGACCAACTTCCGCATGCCCCCCGCGCCAATGCGTGAGCCCCCTCATGGCCATCCAGACTCCTCCGCCTCGAAATTCGCCAAACTTTCACATCTAAGCCGGGTGGATCTCGCTGGTCGTCGCGGATTTCCGACGTGGGTGTCAGGGACCAAACGCTAGCGTCGTCACGACACGAGGAGGAGGGAGGAAGGGAGGGAGGGAGGGAGGGAGGGAGGAAGGGAGGGAGGGAGGAGAAGGAGGAGGAGGAGGAGGAGGAGGAGGAGGAGGAGGAGGAGGAGGAGGAGGCTGTGTCGGGCCCAGCCCACGCCAGGTGATGGTCAACATCGGTGACATCGAGTGCCGCCCCCTCCGTGGCCAGGGGGGGGGGGGCGGGCGCCGCGGGGCCCAGGGTTCGGCACGGTCTGGAGTCCGAGCTCTCCTCTCGGTTTTCTCCATTCCGACGTCGCCGATGCACTGCCGATGCATCGTCGATGCGGTGCGATCCCAATCTACTCGGAGCCCATTTGCGCATCTTTTCCAGCTCCCTGCCCTGCTCGTCGTCGTCGTCTGCCTGCGGCAGGTTCGCGCCATGTCGACCCGGTGGCGACCCCAGCGCGGGCGTTCGTGGCTTGAGTGCCACCAGCGGCCCAGAAATCGGCCAGTTTTGAACGACCTGGGCTAACGGGAAGCCGCGATCTCGCAAGCTTGAACGATACACGCGGTGTCAGAAACCGATGCCCGCTTCGTCATGACAAGAACCTGGCGTAGCCCGTTTTCGCTTCTCTGCGTGGGGCGTTGAGAGGTTGCCACCGCCGACACTCCAGTGGTATGCACTCTTCCTCCGCCGCCATATCCCTGTCTCTCTCCCTCCCTCCCTCCCTGTCTTCCCCATCTCCCTCTCGCCCCCCCCCTCCCCTCTCTCCTCCTGTGTCTCTGGCTTCTTGAGGGCCTCGTCGAAGCCTGCTGGGTGTCTTGGGACCGTTCTGGGCTGGGCACGATGCTTCTGCGGAGCTCTCCCGAGAAGGTTCGGCAGATCCATTTCGAGGCCATTCTTGCTGGATCTGAGGTCGTCTTGGAGTCTCCGTGGGGTGGCCATATGACATCTGGCTCCGTATGAGGGCGTTCCTGGGCAGTCTTGAGGCTGTCTTGGAGCCGTGCTGCAGGCTCTTCGTGGTTGCTCGGGGCTCGTTGTGGCCGTTTATTGGGCGACCTCTAGCGAGTCCGGCCCGACCACGCAGGCCCGCTTCTCTCTTCTGTAGGCTCCGTAGGCGCGACACGTGCTATTGCTTCCAGCGGCAGTGCTTCGGGTTGTGCACGGGCACCCTCCCCCGGTGGCCTCAGCTGCGGCCTCAACAGGCCCCTCGAGTAGTCTCGGCTGACCTGGAGGAGGAGGAGGAGGAGGAGGAGGAGGAGGAGGAGGAGGAGGAGGATGAGAGGAGGAGGAGGGAGGAGGAGGAGGAGGAGGAGGAGGAGGAGGAGGGGCTCAGCAGGCCCCCGGAATGGCCCAAGGCGGTCTCAGCACCCCAGCCCGGGGCGCGAGGCGCCCCGGGGTGGCGCCCCGCCAGGGTGCCGAGACCGCCCTTTGCAGGCCAGCCAGGACTCCCTGGGGATTCTCCGTTCCAACCGTATCTCCTCCTCCTCCTCACTCTCTCATCCTACAACGGCCTCCTCACGCCCCTTCCTCCTACCTCCCCTCGCCGCTTTCTCCTCCTCATCAGCCTCCTCCCTTCCTCTCCTCCTCCCACTCTCTTCATCCATGCTCTTCCTTCCTTCTCCCCCTCCTTTCTCCTCTCCTTCTCCTATCCCTCCTCCTCCTCCTCCTCCTCCTCCTCCTCCTCCTCCTCCTCATCCCTCTCCTCCTCACAGTTCCGCTTTTCTCAGGGTCGAACGATGCTGATTCTGGAAGGCACGTCGGACCGGTCGCTGTCCCTGGGCTGTCGAGTTCAGTCAGGCATCTGATGTTTCAGAGAGACTTGCCACCGATGTTGAACACCGCACTCACATGAGTGAGGCTCATTCCAACCCTTCGCACTCGTCGACGTGTTGCGCATCTGGCGAGACTAGACTAGGTGACGATGCTCAGATCAAGCGACCTCGTATCAAGGCTAGGTGCTCTCAAGCCAACCGGTATCTGGTGTGTACGGGATTTCCGGTAATTGTTCCTTCCTGCTCTGGTCTTGACGGCATTGCAGTTTCTGTTGCCCAGCGGACATTGTAAGTTCGGGAGTGGTGTTCAACCTTTGTGTGGTGGTTGTGAGCACGATTCATGGCAGGTGTTGTTTGCATACATTCCGCCTGCGTGGCCTCCGATCCTTGTATTCTTGTTGTGATTCGCGATAGGTCTGCTCACTTTTGCGAATTTCTAGTGTTTATGAAGGTTCTCATGGACACGGAATTTGTTTAGTCGGTTGGACGGGGAGCTTTGCTTCTGCAGCAGCGTGTCTTGGCCGACCTAGTTCGCCACGAGCTGTGCCCGCACGGGTACCATTTGTTTCCGAGAAGGGAAATGGCCAAGGGGTAGCTGATCTTCGTGCCATTCCCGTCGCCCGTTATTGCTCACTTCTGGAGTCGTTGTGAGGATGCTGTGTCTGAGCCAGATGGCCTCTGCACACCTCGTTCAGTGCTGCCCGAGTCTGCAGCATATCCGTATTACTAGGCTCCGTGCACTTCTTCGGTGCTTGACGTGTCGCAGATTCAAGTTGTTCCTCCACTGGTTCGTCTGCATCCTTCTCGAGATTCGTGGAACGGTTCGACAATGACATGTTGAAGTCATCGTCTTTGCATTCCTCCGAGTGGAACTCCTCGCCCTCAGGGCGAGGGGAACCTGGATCTGATTCAGGTCTGCGTGGCACGCGTGACAGCGCGTGCACGCTCACCCGATCTGCCGATGAGTACTCCGGATCTCATAACAATGGGGGGGGGTCTGCTTCTGGGGGGGGTCTCACGGGCTTCGTCAAGCACATTTGTTGGGGGGTCTCGATTTTGGACCTCTTGTTGCCTGTCTTTGGGGGGGGTCCCAGATCGGCCGTCACAAACACTTTTTTGACCCCCCCCCCCCACTGTTATGAGATTTGGAGTGCCCCCCCGTGCCCCGATGTCCGAGCCCTGGCGACGACGGGCCTCTCCTGCTCCCCAGTTCCTCCGGAGCAGGACGCAGACCCCTGACCCTGGCGGCCGCGGGCCGGCTCCTGCTCTTCCTCCGTGCCCCCTGTGCTCCCGCCTCCCCCCCCCCCCCCTGTGCTCAGGATAGAAAAAACACACGCAGACACAATTCATCGACGATTCCCCAGAGAACATGGGAAAATATGGGAAAATAGGGGGGAAGACAAAAGCCACGAAAATATGGGAAAATATGGGGAATCCTCTTACTTGTGTGTATTTATTTTTGTGTGTCCCAGGGCCCCTTCATGTGCTCCTCCTGGGCGATGCCAGCTGCGCTTGATGGTGCGCCCAGGCAGGCGACGTGCGTGTTTTTGCGCGCGTGCGCGGCATCCACCGTCGTCTCGCCCGCTCCCTGCCCCGCCCCGCCATCCCGGCCCGGGTGGTTCTGGCTGCTGCCAGCTGCGAGACCCTGTGGCTTCTGAGAGTTCGACCAGGCGTAGACGCGCGCGTTCCGCCGCTTGCGCTCGACGTTCTGCGCCCCGTCGCCGCTCGCGGGGCTGCGACGCCAAAGCGATGTGTTCGCGGCATACAACATGCAACGGGTTCGCGCGACGATTTTCCAACGCGTTCATCTGCTTACGAGTCGATGCGTGGTCCTGGCCTGGATGCGGTCACCACCAGCGGTGACGATGTTTGTCTCCACTTGGAGCCCGGGGTGGGGAGGTCGCAGAGGGGCGGCCATGGGGACCGCTAACAAGACGCTTCAGACTTTCGGGCATACAGTGGAGACCCATGCCAAGAAACACCCTGCTTGCCTCCAGGGTGCCCTGGGTTTCTTGAGTTTCGAAAGCTTTTGCCGTGGAAGGCGCGACGTTCCCACGCCAAAAATCGATGGACGACTTGGGGTCTGAGGGTTGGTTTTCTTGTGGAAGGTTCCTTGTGGACTAGCTTCCACTGTGGACTTTCGACGGTCCGCGCGGATTCCTTAGATCCGTGGTGGGCCCTTCTGGCGGCGCCTTGGGCGCCGCCCCTGGCTCGCTCCGCGCGCCAGGGGTGGAGGTCCAGCGCAGATCCAAGAATCCGCGCGGACCTCCAACAGAGTATGTTTATTCCGGTTCTTCCTCTTCTACAAGCGGTTCGACCTTCCAGGCTTTGGGACTGCCAGACACGAATCAGGACGAAAGGTTCGTGCCAGGGGAAAACCCCAGGGTCCAGGATCCTTTTTCCTCAGGACCCGTAGCCTTCATGGTATAACTGTGCCCTGTCGGGGGAATTGGACCCGAATTTCTGCCACGTTCTCAGGATAGCGCTCTTTTGCTTACGCAAGCTAATCACTCGCGCGTTGGCTCGCCCATGGCAGGTTGGCCTTCGCGCGTGTCCGGGTTTGCCCGGTGCATTTTCTGGCGCGTTGTTCATTTTGTTATTATTATATATTGTTTTTTTTTTTTTTTTTTTGTTTTGCTTTTCTTTTTTTTTGCTTCTTATATATTGCAATTTTGTCTTTTTTTTTTTATACTTTTTTTTTTACTTTTCTTATAGTATTTTATTTAGCGCGTTCGTCTGCATTTGCTCGTGGGTTTTGAACTCAAAGGGTTTTTTAATTAAAAACTTGCGCTCGTTGAATTTGTTCGTGGCCGTCGCGATGGGAAAAATTGTGCGATGGCGGGGGCCACGGAACTTTGCTCAGAGGCGGCGCTAAGGGGCGAATTAGCCAGGGAGAGCAATACATGTATCCAGGTTGCGCCGATGAAACATGTCTTCGAAAAAAGGCTCCTGGCGAACTGCGTGTAATGACCTCCCTTGGGTTCAGTCGGGCCTGTACCTCCACAGGAGGAATTCAAACATAGTCAATCAAAATAGCAGGGGATTTTTGTTTTATTTTTTTTTTGACCATCTTGGAATATGTCTTGCGTAATTTTTTATTGTAGTGGCCTTCGGCCAGTGCCGCCGATCCGGGTCGCTCGGGGTTATTCTCCAGACGCAGAAATTATGGGCGCACACTCAAACGCACACACACAGTCACACCACTTAACCTGCGCCGCAGACATGCGCACACAGCATCACCCACACACACATACTAGTTGGGAAACGCTCCTGTAGTACTAGTAGTAGTATTAGTAATAGTAGTAGTAGTAGTAGTAGTAGTAGCAGTAGTAGTAGTAGTAGTAGTAGTAGTAGTAGTGGTAGTAGTAGTAGTAGTAGTGGTTGTGGTAGTAGTGGTAGTAGTAGTAGAGGCCTCGTTCCGCGGCTTCTCTCGACTTCCCGCGGTCTCTCTCACGTTTCGAGCACGCGGTGAGTTTCACGATATATGTGTGTGTATGTACGCGTGCATGCATGTATGCATGCATTGATCATGTGTGCCTGTGTGTAGGTACGTATGTATGTATGTATGCTTGTGCGCGTATGTATGTTTTTAGTTTGTATGTATGATTGTATGTGTGTATGATAATATGTGTGTATGTGTGTGAATGTAAGTATGTATGTCTGGAAGATTGTTTTTCTATGTATGCAAATGTGTTTAAATGTAGGTATGTATGCATGTGTGTTTGGATGTGCGTTTGAAGAGCGAGGATGTTTCAAAGAAGAGGCACTCGGTGACGCGATCGTTGAGGGATAGGAGTGAGGTCGCAGAGGAGGAGGAGGAGAATGAGGAAGAGGCGATAACTTGACGGAAAACGATGAGACGGAGGACATCCTGCCGGTGGCGCCCTGGGCGGTGCCGCGGAAGAAACCGGGGGCCTGCCGGAGGCAGTCTGGAGGCCTCTGGGGAGCTGTTTTGGGGCCTCTTGGAACCTCTTTTGGGCCTCTTGTGGGCTTCTTGGGGCCCCATGGGGGTCTCTTGGGGCCTCCTGGGGGCCTCTTGGGGCGGAAAGCTCGGTTCTTTCGGTTCGTGGTCCCCCTCTTGGGCCCCTCTTGGGGCTCTCTTGGGGCCTTCTTGGGCTGTCCAGAGGCCCTATTGGGCCGTCTTGGGGCCCTCTTGGGCCGTCTTGGGGCTCTCTTGGGCCGTGTTGGAAGCATCGTGGGCCGTCTTGGGACGGACTTGGGGGCCTCTTGGGCCGTCTTCGAGCGTCGGGCGCCCGAAAAGGCAAGAACGCTAAAAACCCTGAGAAAACCAATGAAAATCAACGATTCTGGCCTCTTGGGGCCCTCTTGGGAGGCCTCTTGGAAGCTTCTTTGGGCGTCTTGGAGACACCTTGGGCCGTCTGGAGGCCATCTCGGGCGTCTTGGAGCGATTTTTCGGCGACTCGGGGCCCTCTTGGAACCCCTTGGGGGTCTCTTGGGCCCCCCCCCTCCTCCAAAGCGCCGGAAAAAGCGGTGCATGGCGCCCCCCCCCCCCCTATCTTCCACTCCCCCGGAGCGGCCCCGGGGTTCGCCGGAAACTCGCACCCCCCCCCCCCCCCCCCACCCCCCCTTCCCCGGCAGAGCCACCCCGGCGACCCCCCCAGAGGCTGAAGCTCAGCCTCGAGGCTGTAGCTGAGACTCCTTGAAACTCACACGCCGGATCGGCGGATTTTTCGTCCAGAATCCCCCTGTAGGGGGACACGCCCGACTTGACCCCTCGGCTACTCGCCCCTGATAATCGTCGCCGCCGAGCTGCTGGCACGGGCGCGGTCATGGCGCTCAGGTCCGCCGGGCTGGGGCGGCCTGGGCGCTGCCCGTTCGTGGCCGCCCGTTGGGCGGGGAGGGCGCGTCGTGCGGGGCGGGAGGAGCTCGGGCTTCGGCGAGCGGGGGCGGGGATAGGGGCGAAGGCCGAGGCGGCGGAGGCCCCCCGCGGTGTGTCCGAGGCCCGCCAGGCCACGGCTCTCGCATTCTCGAGGCGGGGGCGGGGGAAGGAGGGAAAATGGAGGAACAGAGACGGAGAGAGAGAGAAAGAGAGATAATTTATCCCAGTGCGACCCTACCTAGGAGTTGGAGCATCTAGGAAAGCAGCATCTACATCTACACCGACAGCTACATTGGCATCTACGCCTGCATCTACATCTACATCATCATCAACAACGAAATTCACATCTACATCTACATCTACATCTACATCTACATCTACATCTACATCGACATCTACACCTACACCTACATCTACATCTACATATACATCTACATCTACATCTACATCTACACCTACATCTACACCTACATCGACATCTACACCTACGCCTACATCTACACCTACGCCTACATCTACATCCACATTGCAAGAGCTGCAGGCTGTTCAGCACTGCTCGCGGCTCCTGCAAGAGCTGCAGGCTGTTCAGCACTGCAGGTCCGGCTTTGCGTTGCTTGTGCTCTGCTTTGCTGTTGCTGCTGTTGCTTTGCCTTTGATTTGCTGTTATACTCTGCTCTGCTATGCTATGCTGCGCTATGCTACGCTATGCTATGCTATGCTGCGCTGTGCTGCGCTATGCTGCGCCATGCTATGCTAGAGTACGCTCGGCTGCGCTGTGTTATGCTAGGCTATGCGATGCTGCGCTATGCTATGATATGCCATGCTATGCTGCGCTATGCTATGCTATGCAATGCAATGCTGCGTTAGGATATGCTATGCTAGGCTATGCTATGATATGCTATGCTGCGCTATGCTATGCTATGCGTTGCTAAACATGCTATGCTATGCTATGCTGCGCTATGCTATGCTATGCTATGCTGTGCTATGTTATGCTATGCTATGCTATGCTATGCTGCGCTATGCTATACTATACTATGCTATGCTATGCTATGCCGCGCTATGCTATGCTATGCTATGCTATGCTATGCTGCGCTATACTATGCTGCGCCATGCTATGCTATGCTATGCGATGCTATGCTGTGCTATGCTATGATATGCTATGCTATGCTAATGCTGCGCTGCGCTATGCTATGCTACGCTATGCTATGCTATGCTGTGCTCTGCTATGCTGAAACTCAGCGAAGCTAAGATGAAGGTAAGCTGAGCTAAGATAAACCTGAGCTAAGATGAAACTGTCCTAAGCTAAGATGAAATAAGCTAAACTAAGATGAGATACGCAACGCTAAGCTAAGGGGACGTAACTGGGGGAACCGCGGGGCGGATCCTGGGGGAACCGCCCAGGGCGATTTCCACTGCCAGGCCCCTTTAAGCTCAGAGAGTAAGAACCCTGCTAGGCAGAGCCTAGGTAGGGAATAAACACACTACATACATGTGTGGTATGTAGTATGTATGCATGTATGCATGTGTGTATACATATACATAGATATAAACCGAGAGAGACACAGAGAGAGAGAGAGAGAGATAACAAACGAGAGAGATAAAACACATGACATTAATAGAGAGAAAGAGAAAGAGAGAGCGAGAGAGAGAGAGAGAGAGAGAGAGAAAAAGAGACGCGGGGGGGGGGGGGGGGGGGGCGGAGGAGGGGATAGGAGAGGTGGGGGAAAGGAAGGATGAGGGGACGGCAGGCGGGAGGGGCATGAGGTGGTGGACGATGAGCCAGTCAACAGTGCGTGATGGCGGAAGAAGCAGAAAGACTGGCGTAAAGGGTCACACCGCATCGTTCTAACAAGTAACGTTCCAAGGGCGCCCTTGCGCCCTCGCCTCTCGGGCCGTTCCCGAGCCTCTTCGGCCCGCCCGTCGCCGCTCAGAGCACACGACGCGGGCGTCCACTGCCCCGGCGTCCTCACCGCGCGTCCTTGTGATCCCAGTGCGACTGTGGGGCGACGACGGGGGTGGCAGGCGGGAGGCGGATGACGAGGGAGGACTGCGCTGGAGGATGCGAAGGAGAGAGGGGACGAGGGAGGAGGTCGAGCGAGGACGACGAAGAGGTCGAGGAAGGGGGGGACTGGAAGAGGTTGAGGTGGAGGAGGGAGGAGGGTCGAAGACTGGAGGAGGTCGAGGCGAAGGAGGGAGGAGGGAGGTCGAGGAGGAGGACCAGAGGATGAAGACGAGCCGCCGGACTCCAGGTACGTGTCCTACCTGCACGTGGGCGGGCAGACGATCGCAGGCATCCTAGACACAGGCTCCCGCCCCTTCCCGGGGGCCGTCCCCTGGCCTGCGGCAGCCCGGGGGCGGGCGGCCAGGAGGGAGGTGATGAGCAGGGGGGGGGGGCTACAGTGGCCAGGGCCATGATATCTCCCCAGATTTCACGGCGCTTCTCCTTGTCTCAATGCGTCCCCTGCCCCCCCCCCCCCTGGGCCGCGCACGTGCCGCAGGCCACGATCTTCTGCGCCCCCCCTCCTGGACGCCCCCCCTCTCGGACGCCCCCGAGCAGCTCCTCCCTGCTCCACCCGTCTCCTCCCCCCCCCCCTCCTCGTCCCCCTCCTCGTACCCTTCCTCGTCCCCCTCCCCGTCCCCCTCCTCGTCCCCCTCCTCCGCGCGTCTCCTCCTCGTCCCCCTCTTCCTGCACGCTTGCCCCCTCTCCCAGCAGCCTGGGCAGAAGGAGCCCCGGGCAGTGATATCTCCTCCCCGGGCTCTAAGCGCTCAGGCGGAAGACTGCGGCCCGCGAGGCTGCACACGTTTAATCATGCTTGATGTTCTTGTTTCCTTCTGAGGCCAGCATTCAGTCGGGTATGCCTCTTCTACAGGAGGAATATCCAAACATAGTCAACACATTCTCTGGGGACACTGTATTGACTATTGTTGATGAGTATGTGTTGACTGTGTTTTATTTTTCTTGCACACTCCGACTGTAGGAGGACATGTCCGACCTAAAGGCAGCACGATAAACAACACAAAACAAGACTGTCCTCGCTCCTTCTTCACTCCTGCCTCCCTTCCTCCTTCCCTTCTTGCTGCCCCGTCCGTCCTTGCTGCCCCCGCCCGCCTCCTCCCTCGTCCTCCCCTCGTCCACATCCCCGTCCTCTCTCCCTCCTCCTCTCCGTCCTCCGTCGTCTGCCCTCCCTCTCCTCGTCCTCTCCCCTGTTCCCCCTCCGCCTGCCCCCTCCCTTCTCTCCTCCTCCTCCTCGCCATCCCTCCGTGTTTCCTCCCTCCTCCGCTTCTGGTGTGCTGCGTTCTGCTTCTTTTCCTCCCCCCTTCCCCCACATCCTCCTACCTCCCTGCTTCACCCATCTTCTTTCCCTCCTCCTTCCGTCTTACTCTTCCAGCATCCTTCCATTCCGCTCATTCCTGCTTGCTCCCTCCTCCATTCCTCCTTCCTCCTCCCCCTCCAGCTTTACCCATCGCCTTATATGACGCAGATCTTGCTCGTCGGCACCTCTAGACTTGTCGGTAGGGCCGTCAGGGTGTTTCACCCTCATTCGTCGCAACTCATTGTGAGGCTGATTGTTCTGGTCAACGCGTACTGTAGTGTGTGCTCGCTTTACAAATGTGATTATCGCATTATTTGGGTTGCCCCCAAACGATGTGGTGACCACACACGGTGAGCCAGGTGGGGATTCAGGGTGACCGCACGGATCGTCTGGTGAGGTCTTGCGGGAGTTCGACGTCACCGCATGGCTTGTCACCACACGGTTGTGGGACACTCAATGTATCACCATGCACATGTGTCGTAACGCAGCCCCCAGCAATTCCACGGATGGAAGAGGGTTTTGCTCAAGACGTAAATATGTCTCGTGGTTGTTCTGCGTGCATGTCGTTTTGCAAGTTCCCAGTGGGTACGAGATTTGTTGTTTGTGCTTGTGTCTATGTGTGTGACAGTGGGGGGAACTTGATTCACTTCTCGTAGCGGAGGACGCCATTCGTCCTACACGCGCCAACACAGACGCGGACGGAGGGCGATTCTTTGTCGTATTGCGTCTTTCGCCGGAGTAGTACAGCGGATCACCGGATGGGTGACGATTCTTTTTCAGCTAGGGGCCTTCGCTTGAGTTGCTCCGTCTTGAGACCTCAACTTTCATGGCTTTTATCTCACACTACAAAACCGTTGTACGGATGCTTTGGATTGCTACTTTTGACATGGGGGTATGCGTTGAGAGTTTCTTGGATGTTGGGACACTGTCGGATGTCCGTTTAATTGGTTGCGTGGACGGCAGGTCACTTCTGAAGTTGGGTTCTCTCTTGAATGGTAGCCCATGGGTCCATTGGCCGTTCGTTTTTCCACGGGGCGCTCCTCGCAGTGACAAGCGGGCCCCGTGCAGGGACTTCTGGCGTGGGCTGGACGGGAAGGCCTTCTGCAGCATGGCCGATGCACGCATGGCAGTCCCTCATTCCCGCATCCTCTTCCTCCCGATCTCATCCGTCCGCCTTCCCGTCCCCCTTGCTGCTCCCAGCTCCGCTCTTCTTCCTCGGGCCTCTCCAGCGCACCGCACAGAGCTGGGAGCTCCCGCACGTGGACATTCTATTCGAACCTTGTGGCCCAATCTTTCCCCCAGACCACCCGAAATGCATATGGAGGGCGTTGCGCAGGAGAGGGCGTGGGTGGACAGACGTAGTCGAACCCCAAAGGGCCGAGTGTCAGCAGATCGCTTAGGAATGCCACGCATGCCGTGCGCGCCACTGGTTCCAGGTGCACCAGGCACCCTGGAGGCTCAAGCGTGCCAGGTGCGGCACATGCTCCACATGCGCCAACTGTGCCACGTGCTCTTAAGTGCGATTTCTAAAATTTGTTAGAAAGGAGCTCAGGATCTTGAATCCCTCTGAAGCGAAGTGCCGAGCATTCTGTGAGAAGTGCGGCCCTTCCAGGCAGCGCAAAGAACCGGCACCGATGGTCAACTTGTGACATTTTGAGGAGTCGTGCAACAGATGAGAGCGCAGAGAAAGAGGGCCCTGCGCATGCTCCAGGTTGGAGCCAAAATGTATTGATGCATTGTTCTTTCAAAAGGATGGCTGGCCTGCGCGCAGCAAGCATTATGCCAGCACCCTCGCCGTCCCTGTCAAATACCATTGGAAAGTGGTCGCGTGGCGCCTGCGCATGCGACAGACTTGGAGGCAAAGTGCATGTTGTATGTTTTTTTGTTTGCAAAGGTATGATGCGGGGGGCTCATTGGTCCAGATTGGCTGCCTGTCGCCGGGGGGAGGTGCGTTTCTACATACGGAACAGTGATAAATCCTTTCCCTGAGCAGGGGAATGATGGATTAGCAGAGAGATGCTACAAGTTCGTTAAGCCACCTATGTCCAGAGGGTTGGCGGAATGTTGGCTTCCTCGCCGAGGCCATTTTGAACGCTCTAACCCCTCGCAAAAATACCCCTGTCCAGACCCAGGGGGAGGGGGCAGGGGGAGGCGTAAACCCGTCCCCGAAAGGGAAGAAGGGGGGTTGGAAGAGGCAGCTCTCTAGCCTCTCCACGCCCTGGCGGGCTGGTGGTCTTTTTTTCGCTGGGGTCTGCGGCTCCCGTTCCGCAGCCTATTTGGGGGTCCTCTTACCTGGTGATGATTGTGGTGATTTGTGTGACGAGACGTGGTGATTTGTGTCGAGATCCTGGAGGCCTGAGCTAAACGCGAAGTGTCTAGCATGTGGTTGGCCGCGTGACGTGAACACAACTATTATGGGGGGTCCTCTGGCACGAGGAGGCCTGAGCATCCCACCCGTCGTGGGCTCCTAGAGGTGCAAGACGAGGAGGAGGATGAGGAGGAGGAGGAGGAGGAGGAGGAGGAGGAGGTGCAAGACGAGGAGGAGGAGGAGGAGGAGGAGGAGGAGGAGGAGGAGGAGGAGGAGGAGGAGGAGGAGGAGGAGGAGGAGGGGGGGGGGGAAGGCATCGACCCCCAGTGGAGGCCCGATGGTCCACCCCGCCAGGGAACGTGCGGTTTCCCCTATGGGCGGCCCACCGCCGATCCATCGGCGAGGCACCGCCGCTTCCGGGCCGACGTCCCCCCCCCCCTTTGCTAGTCCCAGGAGGAAAAGAAACACACCGACAACAATTAATCTTCGATTCTCCAGAAAATATGGGAAAATATGGGAAGTGGGGGGGAAGACAGACACCCTGAAAGTATGGGAAAATAGGGGGACTCTTTTTCTTTGTGTGTATTTATTTGTGTGTCCTGGGCGCCCTTCATAGTCCCCCCTACCGTTGCCCCTCACAGGAGTGAGCAGAGAGCGCACGTCTGCACGACACAGCCACCGTCCGCCGCCGCCGCCGGACCATCCTGGTCGAGAGGGCGCCCGCCCACAGTCGCGACCGGCGGGACGATGCGACGGGCTGGCTGACGCGGAGGGGTCGGGCCCGCCCTCCGTGCCGTGCGGCTGGCGGCAAGGGTGCTCAGTCCCGGGGGGGAGCAATGCTTGGAAAAGAGCCCAGGGGGCTAAGTGAGATGGTGGCAGGCCTTCTCAAAAGGCGGCGGGGCCTCTCAGAGGCCCTTGTGCCTTCCGAGAAGTTGTCTGGGCCTTCTCCGAAGACAGGGGCGGCTTCTCACAAGGCTGGGGGGCTTGTGGGCGGCCTGGCCCGGCCACCTTCTGAGGAGGCCTGCCCCCCCCCTCCCTGCCCCCCTGGGCTCGCGGCCCACGCGTCCAGGGGGACCACTCGCCCGCCTCTTCGACGAGGCTCCCAGGCGTGTGCGTGTCGTGCCCGCCCCAAGGCTGGGCCTCCCAGATGGGGGCGGACTGGGTGGGGTCGGAGGCTCGCACCCCATCGCCGAGGCACCGCCGACGTCGTTGACTCACCGCCGATGCATCGCTCGTGCATCGGCGATGCGGCACGACCCTCCGACCCCCTGTGCTCGGACCCCCTCTGGGAGGCCTCCAATCCACCCCTGCTGCCTCCGCCGACGCCCAAGAGGCGGCGGCCGACCCCGGGGCCGCCATGCGGCGGGCGCGGCGCGGCCGGGGATCGCTCCAGGGGCGCAGCCGGGGGCGCCGGGCCCTCCCGCCGCGGCCGCCGACGCCGCCCGAGTGCGACGAGGCGCTGCTGCTGAGCGAGGCCCTGGGCGTCGGGGCGGAGGCCGACGAGCCCCGCGAGCCGCAGGGCGCGCCCCGGCCGCCGCCCCTGCCGGGGGGCCGCCCGAGGGGCAGCCCCCCGGCCTGCAGCCGCCCCGCGGGGCGCCCCGACGACACCGCGGCCTTCCACGCGAGCCTGAGGCTGCCCTCGCTGGGCGGGGCGGGCTGCCAGGGGCAGGGCGCCGGGGGGTG